GCCACCAGAGCTCCTATTATGTACCAGGTGCTGAGGCTATAGCAGTAAACAGACAGACACAGACAGACTCTGCCCGCACTGTCATCCTTCAGAGACACCAGATGGGCTGAGCCACCTCTACCACATAAAACAAAAACCCTCTACCATCTAGCCAATTCCAACTCATAGTGACCCTACAGAACAGAGGAGAAGTGCCTCATAGGGTTTCCCAGGCAGTAATCTTTACAGAAGTAGATTGCCACATCTTTCTCCTGCAGAACAGCTAGTGGGTTTGAACTGCCAACCTTCCAGTTAGCAGCCAAGCCCTCTAACCACTGCACCACCAGCGCTCCTTCCTCTACCACACAGGCACTGGAAAATGGGAATCATCTCTTGATTGATGAGTTGGCTTCAGGAAACATCTCAACTCTACACATACCAGTAGGAGTCAGGTAACACCCTATGAATAATGGAAGAGCTCCTTTATTAGTTTCAAGAATTTCTATCAATACCTAATAACAACAGAAATAAATACTAAAGCTCTCACACCATGCTAGGCAGCGTGCTAAACATATCATGAGCATGTTTCATTTACTCGTGAGAACAACCCTGTAAGTTCTATTACTATTCCCATTTGACAGATGAGAAAACTGAGGCTAAAATAGAGCAAAAAGAATAATTCACATTTATGATTACTGATAAGCACTCTTAGGCACTTTTCCATATACTACTTCATTTAATCCCACAACAACCCTATGAGATATATGCTATTATTTTTATCATCCCCGTTTTACAGATGGGAAATCAAGGCACAAAGAGATCAAGTGATTTGCCCAGGATCACTGCGCTAGAAAATAGTAGTAGATATAGGACTTGAACTCACGTAGCCTGACACAGAGAGAGAGCACTTGGCCACTTTGCTATGGAAACTTCTAGAAGAGAAAAGGAGAGGGCTGAAGCCTGATCCCTCACCTGGAGGCAAGGACAGGACCCCAGGAGCTTCTGGAGTCTCAGCACAAGGATTTAACCGAGACAACACAGGGGCTCCACTGAGGCCCCTTGTGCCGCCTCTCTCCTTCCTGGGGCCTCCCCTTTGAGCACGTGAGAGGTTGCACTCAACAGTTCCAAGGCCCTTCCCTGCGCTGGTCCCGCTTAGTGTACCCAGATGCCTTGACCACATCTCCCCACCCAATCACAGAAAGGTGGACGAGACACACGGCTGAGAATCTTCATAACTGCGTTCCCAAAATAATCCGAACGACTAGCAGATGGAGATGTTGTATGCAGGCGCGGGAGGAGAATGAATTGGAAATAAAAAGAAATATGCCAGAGAACAAAAAGGCGTTGGAGGACCGGATGGAGCCTGGAGGTGCTTTTCTGCTTCCCTGTTTCTGAAGATCTTGTTCAGATCAGCAAAAAGGCCCTTGTTTGTTCATTCTGCCCATGCAACAAATATTTATTGAGCATCTACTATGTACCAGGCACTGGGCCACGTGCTGCGACAATTAATCACTCTGACTTGGATGGAAACCTTCAGAATATGACCATGCCTTAAAGACTACAGATGCTTCCAAATCTTTTTCCACTTGGAGGAACACTCATCGGGGCTAAAAGTCCCTACATATTTGACATTACATGTTTCATAGCTCAGAAGGCCTGCTGTGAATGGAGCTGAACTACAGCCCCACCATCAGCTGGTCAGCTCTGCTCTCTCAACACAACAAGGGGCCCCGAGCACATCCCTGTCCACAGCAACAGTATAAACAGGACCTCAATCTTTCCCTCTTTCATCCTCTCAAATCCTCCATCCCTGTGGCCCTAACCTCACCTCAGGAAAAAAAAAAAAAAAAAAGAAAGAAAGGAAACGTGTCAAGACTAAGTTCAAGGAAACGCAGCAAGTTTAACTTACAGCCAGGGTGGCGTCTGGGCGGGGAAAGGTCCCAGGATCTCCACCTCATCCTCGCTCGACTGGCAGCAGCTGGACTCACAGCACTTCTGACAGCAGTGGCGGCAAGTCCATCTACACAGCAGCAGGTCCGAGATTCTAGAAAGAAAACCCTGAGGCCATTGGGGGAGTGGGCAGAGGAGGAGGGGAGCGGTGGGAAGGGTGGACGGGAGGAGGAGGAGGAAAAACAACACCCGAAATTATAAACGGCAGACCCCTGGCGAGACAAAATGATATTCAGAAGGTCTGTCTCCGCGGCTGAACACTTAGAGCAAAATGTTTTCCGTTTCTATTTCCCAACTGGAGGCACAGAGATGACAAACACCAACTCGCTGGAGCCATTCACAGTGAGCAAAACATTTGCAGGTATTTTCCTTTGTAGTTTATGTGAACGGCTTTCCTGACATGTGGGCGGTTTATACATCATGAGGGCTAGACAGTATGTTCTTGAAACAAATGAATATTTCTGTCTTCAAAGCCCAGAAAAAAAAATATTGAAAAACAAATAAATAATCCCAGTGATTCAAAAGCAAACAGATAAACGGACTATGCAGTGGTAGAGAGGGAAACCTAGCTTGTCAAGTAATGTCTTTTCACTGGGATTACCTAAATCAAAAGGCATCGAAAGCATGCCGTTCAGAGCTCCCAGTTACTGTTTTAATAGTCACTATCCCCACAGCCCCAGCCAGACTCCCGAACGAGAGGCAACATGTGCTGATCAGTAACCAGGCTGATCAGTTCATCGGATGCACCCACCTCGTTTAATGGTTCCAACTGCCCTTTTTGAGATCCAAGATGAAGCCAAGGAGCGTGAGGGGTGAAGGGGTTACAAAGAGAGAGAGAGAAGACCAGTTTAGTAATCTTCCAGCAACTTGAAAAACAAGAAAGAAAGGAGGGGAAGAAAAAACAGAAAAAAAAAAAACCAACCAGCCCCTGCACCTCTCCACTTACCATCCTGGGCAGGGAGCTGACTTGCTAACAAGGTGCTGCTATTTTCAGGGCTGCTGGTTGCATCCTGGCCAACCAGCACTGAATAAATGGGCAACTTTAGCATTGCGATGTGATTTGCACCGTATGCTGTTATGAATCAGAGCGGGCGGATAGATAGTCATGCTATCCAATGCAGCCACACTTCAGGAAAACAGCAAACCTTCCTCTACAGAAATAGCCATGAAGCCAACCCAAAAGGACACGATTAGCTAACGTGCAGGCAGGCACAGAGTGGGTTGCTCCACTACCCCACCCTCCCAGAGGCTCTACCTCCCAATTCTGCTCCAATGGTGATGGAGGGGGAACCGCATATGACCACCCACAATAGAGGGAACTGAAAAGGAAGCCATCATTCTGTCCTTCTGGGGACGCCGGGGGTCCCTCTCTTCTTGTGCCCCAGTCCCCACCCCAGCCTCTTCCCCCAGGCCCCCTAAGGCACAGGTTTCCTCCTCCTCTTCCAGGGAAGCGCCTTAATGGCTTTACACCCAGGCCAAGGGAGCGAGGAAGGCTGGCCGGCAGCTCAGCCTCCACCATGCTCCAGAGCGTCTTAAGAGATGAAGTGAGGTGGGACCCAAACACAAAACGTTCACTAACTTTCACTCAAAAGAGAGAAAGTACTCTCTTTCCCATCCTCTTTCAAGGAAGAGAAAGTCTCCATTTGGTAAAACGGTATTTTCACATCTTTCCAATACATGCTAATCTCCCCTGTCCGTCTTTTAAACAAAGAACAGACATAAGCACCCAGCTTTCAAAACAGCTGTATCCAACCAGAATTTAATAACGTGAAGTTATTCCCATGAGGAGTCCCTGGGTGGTACAAACGATTAATGAGCTCAGCCGCTAACCAAAGGGTTGGAGGTTCAAGTCCTCCCAACAGTCTCTTGAAAGAAAAACATGGTGACCTGCTTCCGGAATAATCAGCTATCAAAAACCCTTTGGAGCACAGTTCTAGTTTGACATGCGTGGGGTCACCATGAATCAGAATCAATTCAACGGCAATGGGTTTTTAAAATTCTCATTGTGTTTATTTTTTCCAGTTGCCTTCTATTTATATCAAGTGATTCTGATTTTCTATTACAGTAGTGACAAAAAAAAATTTATTCTCATGATTTTTAAAGTAAAAATAACTAAATAAGTGAATAATAGTACTGGTGGCATGTGGCTTGTGAAATACTCAAACACCTTTAAGTGGTAAAGGAATAACTGCAGCTTAGGAAAGAAAGTCTCAGGCACTTATCCATCACAAACTACTTCAAAACCAAAAAAATCAAACCACTTTCAGACCTGACAGGGCTTCAGGTTCACCAAGGAGCAGGGACTAGAGAAGCAGTGGTCCTGCCCCACCACTGACCTATCATGTGACACGGGCAAGTCCAGGGGCCCCTGAACCTAAGTTTCCCCCTTTTCCTTAGTAGAAGAGCTACACCCTTTCCCAAAGGCATGCTGCAAAGATGAGATAAGATGCTATGAAAACATCTGGATGCTGTCCAGGTGGGTAATAACTGTACCCATTCTGTGGCATATGAGAACAAGGTTATCAAGACCACTGGAACCTATGAGGAACCCGATGCTGTCCTGGCAGATATAGCAGTGAACCAAGTAGCAAATAAGTTAAGTGAATAAGCCTCACAGGGCTCTCAGAAGAAAGTGTTTCAAAGTAGATAGGATAAAGGACAAGGATGAAGAGATGCTTTTCCACCACAGGTTGTTCCCATTCTTAGTGGTCTGCACTCAACTGTAACCTAAAGGTTGGCAATTCGAACCCACCTGGTGGTGCTGTGGAATTAAGATCTGGCGGTCTGTTTCTGCTCTGATCACAGCCGAGAACACCCTAGGGAGCAACTCTAGTCTGACCACGGGGTTGCCGTAAGTCGGAATCAACTCCACAGCACTGGGTTCAGCTCTCAGGTATGTGGTGATCAAAGCACCATTTATAAAACCACTGTGGACACAGGCCACCTTAGAGGCCCCTGAGGAAACCACCCAGCTTCCTTCAGGCCCAGGTACAAGGTGAGTGTCCACGAGCAAAGAGAAACCAGGGAGGATGGAGAAACGGAAGGCGCTTTGCTGCTCCCCAGCATGCTGGGTCATTGCTCACACCGGGCCCACAGGGTTCATACACACGACGGAGGAGAAATGATTCAAGCCAGAAAGAAAGAGGAAGGAAGAGAAACCAGACAGTCTAGAACGAGGGCTGGCAAATCGGATGAAGCCTGTTTTTCTATCAGAGCTAGGTAAGATTTTTTAATGTCTAAGCAAAAAATATTCCTCAGGATAACAGTTCTTGACTCAAGCAAATTATATGCTATTCAAGTTTCAGTGTTCATAAAGTTTTATTGAAACAGCCACGCCCACTCATTTGTGTATTGTCTGTGGCTGTGCTTCCTACAACAGCACAGCTGAGTAGCTGCCACTGAGACCTTCTGGCCCTCCACAAAAATATTTACTATCTGGCCCTTTACAGGGAGCTCTGGTGGCGCAGTTCCTAAGACACCTGACAGCTAACCAGAAGGCTGGTGGTTCAAACCCACCACAGCAAAGGTCTGTGGCTTTGTTCTAGAAGGAAAGCCAACATCGATGGCCATCCTCAAACTAGATGCTTAACATGTCATTGTTGTTGTTGGGTGTCATCAAGTCGATTTCAACTCATATGAACCGTGTATGACCAAGTACAACTGCAGTTTTCTAGGCTATCATCTGTAGGGAGGCTGGTCACCCGGTCTTTTCTCCAACGGCGTGCCTGGTGGGTTTGGTTAGCAGCCAAGCACTTAACCACTGTACCACCTAAGCTCGTTAACGTAGCCCCCATCAATACCCACTGATCCCCCCAACCACACCCACCCCTACTTTTAGATCCCACCTCTACCCCAAAGAAGCTGTGTGACCTTGGGCAAGTTGCTTAATCTCTCTGTGCTGTCATCAAGAACCACAGAAGCCTGTTACGGTGTTCACGTCTCACTAGACTCTGCATTCTGGTGGGCAGGGACCATGCTGTTTTCACTACTGTATCCCCAGTACTGGCACACAGTTGGGGCTCACCCAAATGTTTACTGAATGACCGTTGAATAGTCCCCTCCAACATCGGGCACACAGTAGGTGTACAGGAAATGTGACCTTCACTGAACTTGAAAAGAGGATTCCATGAAGGAGAGGAGAGCTGGGGCTTTCTGTGAGAAGCCCATCCAGCCAATTTAAACAAGGAGAAGGGCATAGGAGGCTCTACCAGGTCACAGAACACGAGTCCCTGGCAGGCAGGAAATTCTGCGACAAGGTGAGAGGATGTGTGTGCCAGGGGAGAACCAGGAGGCCAGCAGCCTCCAAAGGTAGCTGGGGGGTAGGGAGGGATGTGCCCAGCTGTTCCTTGCGGTGTGCACCTGGAGGCTTCTCTACCGACCTACAAGGAGACAGCCCCAGATGCAAGTAGCTCAGCGGTCTGTTGACCTTGGCTCTGACCTGTAGCCACTTCCTCCAGTGGTCAGAAGAGGGAAAGGCCTCCTAGACATGCAGCACCCACACCTACACCCCCAAAAAAGCTGCTCGGTAATTATTTCAGTCCAAACATTCTTGAAGGGTTCCCCAAGGTGATGGGGGTCCCCAACCGTCGGACCCCAATGCAACGGACTAACGTAGCCGGCTGTTCACCCTCCAACTGGCGCTCCTCTGGTCTCTGTGTGTCCCCACCCTCAGCACCGAGTTCCCGGGAAAGACGTTGTCCTTGTCCCTCCAGGCCGGAACAGCTGCCTCAGGCTCGCTCCGCCGGCCAATTAGCCGGAGCCATCACCACGGCAACGGCAGCTGGCGGGCCGGGCGGCTGGCGTGCCCCAGGCCGCCCTCCCCACAGCCCCTCCCCTGGGATAGGGTGCAGAAGGAAAGGGGGAGGGGGAGGGGAGAGAAGTCCGTCTCAGCCCCCCCATTTCCTCCCCAGGTGGCAAGGACGAGCGTGAAGAGTCCATGTGGGGCCCTCCATCCTGGGGCTTGGGGGTCCCCAGCCTCACCTCCCGAGCGCACCCCAGCCGCTGCACAGGTTGCCTGCGTCCGGGCACCGTTTTTCTCGAGGCAAGTTTGTGGGAGCCTAGCCGTGTGCCCTCCCTTCCGCGCGCTCACAATCGGAGGGGCGCAGCATCCCCACCCAAACCCCGGACTTTGCCCCCAAACCTCAGCCCTACCTGGATGTACGCCATTTTCGCCCGCGCGCACTCACTCCGGCCCGGGCATGGCGCCGCCACGGCCACTTTGCCCTCGCCAACAGAAGAGGGGGAAGAAAGCAAAGGGGATAAGGAAGAAATAGACTGCCGTGTGGCCCCAGACGTGACTGGCGTGGCTGATGAGCAGCGCCCGCCCCTCGGCTGGCCGCCCCGTCCTTGCTTTTCCCTGCGTTCCGGCTCCGGGACTCCGGGCTACCTCCCAGGTTCGGAGACCTCGGGTGTCCAGGGCTCCTGCCTCGGCCTCCCTCGCTGTCCCGCACTCCCCCCGAGGCGCGCCCCCGGCTGCAATAAGGCCAGGGCGCCTAGGGAAGGAACCCAGGGCGGCCGCGGGGACTGCAGAGACCCCGGTGCAGGCGGGGCTGGAGACGCCAGGGCCCGAGAGCGCCGGAGGCGGGGGAGGGAAGGGGTGGGAGTGGGCGGTGCGCGGGTCAGCCCATCCGGCAGGCCAGGGGGCTGGCGCCTCCCGAGAGTAGTGCCCTCGGGCGGCGGTGAAGCCACCCGGGCATAGCCCAGCCAGTGTTGGCCTCTAGAGCTAAGAAGGTCCCCTCCATTCAACCCTTTCCCGACCTGGTTGGAAAAACTTTATTCCTGTTCACCCACCCGACGTGCCTAGAACTGTTGCGGTGAGAAACGTAGAGGCCAAATGAGCTGGAGCCCCAAACTAAGGTGGGCCGTAGGACTCCCGGAGGAAGGTGGTGCGGCCAGGCCACAGGGAGCGGGCGGAGAGAGTGGAGAGCCCTTTTACCCTAAACCTGCCGGAGTTGCGCCCTGGGCGCAACAGGTTTGGCGCAGGGCGGCCGGGCAGCGCCACCCAGCGTCGTGCCTGGCGTCTTGCGCGCTTGTGCGGGCTCGAAGCTCCGCGCCAGAGAGCGTGCGTCCCGGGGCGTGTCCGCTGGCCGGCCTGCTTGCGTGGCGAGGTTCTCTTGCTCTAACCGTTCCTCGGAACCCCTTATTCTGAAACAGGGCCTCCCACTCCCCGGCCACAGAGGTTGGGCTGGCTCTCCATTTGGGGATTGGAGATGGAACACTGACCTCCGCTGGTTCTCTCTTTAAAATGCAGACAAGTTGTTCCCCTGTTGGCGGTCACCAACGTCTCTGCCTTGTCACAGTAAAGATGAAATAAAATCTCTGCCCTGCCAGGGCTACTGTATGGGAATAAATGAGAAGCTGAATGTGGAGGTAACATGCAGAAGACATCATTAGATGTAGGTATGTTCTGTGTAAAATGTAGCATATTTATACATTTCTTAGTATGTATCATTTGTAGCACGTAATATGTGTATATATTGAGCAGTTACAATATGAGAGATACAAACTAAACAATTCATTGGCCTTGCACACTGCTATGCACCAGCACAGGGCCTGACACCTCAGTCAGTACTCAGTATATGTTTTTGTGTTGTTGTTGGGGCCTCAGCTTCAAGGGAGAGGTGAAGCCATTATCCCCAATTTACAGATCAGGCAACGGAGGTGCATCAAGGTGAAGCCACTTCAGCAAGGCCTGCCAGCTCCTAATGGGGTGGCTGGTGGCACCAACCTTTGAATTCAGTCTGCGCTGCTAACCACATAAGACGTTTCTCAGCAATGGTGGAAGGAGGTGCTTGGAGGGAAGGTTGAGTCACAAGAAAGGTGACTACTAGGATGGTGTACCTTCGGAACACTTGAGGGCAGCAAAGGAGTTTGCTATGTATTCCCACAGGGAAAAAATAATAGCTAACATTTTTTAGGGCTGTGTACCAGGCACTGTTTAAGCCTTATATGTAAATTCAGTCTTAATTCTCTGATGTGCAAGACAAAGGCACTATTGCTTCCCAACTCCTCAAAAACCAAACTCACTGCCATTAAGTCATTTGACTCATAGAGACCTCCATAGGGTTTCCAAGGCTGTAAATCTTTACTGAAGCAGACTACCTACCCATTGTTCTTCCTTGGAGAGTGAGTGGGTTTGAAGCACTGACCTTTTGGTTAGCAGCCAAATGTCTTAACTACTGCACCCACCAGAGCTCCTTAATTGGGGTGGGGAAGAAGGAGGCATAAAATAACCTGCCCAGGCTGGGAACTCTGGTAGCATAGTGCCTAAGGCACTTGACTGCTAACTAGAAGCCTGGCGGTTCAAACCCACCAGCCACTCCTCGGAAGGAAGATGGGGCAATCTACTTCCGTAGTGATACTGCCTTGGAAACCCAAGGAGGGGTCACTATGAGTTGAGTGCAACTCAGTGGCACATAACAACAACAACAGGCTTGGAGGAGCTGGAATTCCAACCTAGACAGCTTAAACTGGAGCTTAGCCCCTGCATAGCACTGTCTCTCAATGTGAAATCATGGGGGCAATGGGGGGGGGGGTAGAGCCTCTTGAGGTTAGTTTGGTACCTTCATTCTTGAAGACCTAAAACAGTCCAAGAATACGAAGTACTTCTCCCCCAGGGAAGACCAAACCCACTGCCATCTCTCTCTAGGACAGAGTGGAACTATCCTGTATAGTTTCCAAGGCTGTAAATCTTTATGGAAGCAGACTGCCTCATCTGTCTTCTGTGGAGCAGCTGGTGAGTTCAAACCACTGCTCTTTTGGTTAGCAGCTGAATGCCTTAGACACTGTACAACTAGAGCTCCTTCCCCCAAGTTGTTGTTGTTAGGTGCTGTCAAATCGGGTCCGACTCATAGCAACCTTATGTACAACAGAATGAAACACTGCTCGGTCATGTGCCATCCTCACAATCCTTGCTGTACCCGAGTTCATCATTGCACGCAGTGTGTCAATCCATCTCATTGAGGGCCTTCCCCTTTTTCATTGACCCTCCACTTTACCAAGCGTCCTTCTCCAGGCAATGGTCCCTTCTGACAACATGACCACAGCAGGTAAGACAAGTCTGGCCATTCTTACTTCCAAGGAGCATTCTGGCTGCACTTCTTCTAGGACAGATTTATTAGTTCTTTTGGCAATCCATGGTACTTTCAGTATTCTTCATCAACACCACAACTCAAAAGCATTAACTCTTCTTGGTCTTCCTTATTCATTGTTCACCTCTCACATGCATATGAGGTGATTGAAAATGCCATGGCTTGGGTAAGACATACCTTAGTCTTCAAAGAGACGTCTTTGGTCTTCAGCATGTTAAAGAGGTCTTTTGCAGCAGATTTGCCTAGTGCAATACATCATCTGATGTCTTGACTGCTGCTTCTATTAGTGTTGATTGTGGAACCAAGTAATATGAAATCTTTGACAACTTCAATCTTTTCTCCATTTATTGAGATGCTCCTTATTGGTCCAGTTGTGAGGATTTTTGTTTTATGTTGAGGTGTAATCCATACTGCAGACTTTAATCTTCATCAGTAAGTGCTTCAAGTCATCCTTCCTTTCAGCAAGCAAAGTTGTGTCTGCCTGAATATTGCAGGTTGTTAATAAGTCTTCCTCCAATCCTTATGCCACAGTCTTCTTCATATACTCCATCTTCTTGGATTATTTGCTCAGCATACAGATTGAGTAAGTATGGTGAAAGGATACTACCCTGACATACTCCCTTTCTGATTTTAAACTATGTGGTATCCCCTTGTTCCATTCAAATGACAGCCTCCTGGTCTATGTACAGGTTCCTCATGAGCACAATTAAGTGTTCTGGAATTCCCATTCTTCTGAATGTTATCCATGATTTGTTATGATCCACACAATCGAATGTTTTTGTATAGTCAATAAAATACAAGTAAATATCTTTCTGGTATTCTTTGCTTTGAGCCAAGATCCATCTGACACAAGCAGTGATATCCCTTGTTCCACTTCCTGTTCTGAATCCAGCTTGCATTTCTGGAAGTTCTCTGTCAATATACTGCTGCACCTATTTTTAAGTTATCTTCAACAAGATTTTACTTGCCTGTGATATTAATGATATTGTTCGATAATTTCCACATTCTGTGGGATCACCTTTCTTTGGAATGGGTACAAATATGGATCTCTTCCAATCAGTTGGCCAGGTGACTGTCTTCCAAATTTCTTGGCATAGACGTGTAAGTTCCTCCAGCATGGCATCCATTTGCTGAAACATCTCAATGGATATTCCGTCAATTCCTGGAGCCTTGTTTTTTGCCAGTTCCCTCAGTGCAGCTTCAACTTCTTCCTTCATTACCATCGGTTCTTAATCATATGCCCCCTTGTGAAATGGATGAACATCAACCAATTCTTTTTTGGTACAGTGACTCTGTGCATTCCTTCCATCTTTTTTTTTTAATATATATATATATTTCCTGCATCAGTCAGTATTTTGTCCATAGGATCTTTCAATATTGCAACTAAAAGGTTGATTTTTTTTTTTTTTTTTTTTTCAGTTCTTCCAGCTTGAGAAATGCTGAGCGTGTTCTTCCCTTTTGGTTTTCCAGCTCCAGGTCTTAGCACATTTCCTTATAATAATTGACTTTGCCTTCTCGAGCTGCTGTTTGAAATCTTCCGTTCAGCTCTTTTGTCGTTTTTTCCATTTGCTTTAGCTACTCTCCATTCAAGAACAAGTTTCAGTCTCTTCTGGCATCCATTTTGGTCTTTACTTTCTTTCCTGTCTTTTTAAGGACCTTTTGTTTTCTTCATGGATGATGTTGTTGATGTCATCACACAATTCCTCTAGTTTTGGGTCATTGATGTTCAGTGCATCAAATCTATTCTTTAGATGGACTCTAAATTCAGGAGGGATAGAATCATGGTCATATTTTGGCTCTCATGGACTTGCTTTGTCTTCAACTTCAACTTGAACTTGCATGTGAGCAGTTAATGGTCTGTTCCACAGTCAGCTCATGGCCTTATTTTGGCTGAAGATACTGAGCTTTTGCATTACCTCTTTGCACAGATATAGTTGATCTGATTCCTGTGTACTCCATGTGGGAAAGTCCACATGTATAGCTGCCATTTGTGTTGTTGAAAAACGTATTTGCAATGAATAAGTTGTTGGTCTTACAAAATTTTATCGTGTGATCGCCAGCATTATTTCTATAACCAAGGCTAAATTTTCCAACTACCACTGATTCTTCATTTCCAAATTTTGCATTCCAGTCACCAGTGATAATCAACACATCTTGATTGCATGTTTGGTCAATTTAAGACTGTAGAAGTTGATAAAAATCTTCAATTTCCTTATCATTGGCTTTGGTAGTTGGTGTGAAATTTGAATAATAGTAGTATTAACTGGTCTTTCTTGTAGGCATATCAATATACAGGCTGCGTTGTCCCTCAGGATAGATCTTGAAACATTCTTTGTGACGATGAATGCCACACCATTCCTCTTCAATTTCTTGTTCCTGGCATAGTAGAACATATGGTTGTCTGATT